CCCATAGTCTGATGTTATCAATTCTTTTTAATATCTTTGCAGTGAATGGGGGTTAAAATATAAAATATATCATGTTGCATTGGGTACACCAGATTATGGAGTTTATACAAAAAAATGAAAAAATGAACATTTCATATTTGCTTGTGTTTGTGGTCACCAGTTAATGGATGCCAATAAGGATACATCATGTTGGGGTCACCAGATAATGGGTGTGTGTGGAAGAAAGGTTTATTCTCCCATTTGCATTTCCCCCATTATAGGAATTATTATGTCAATGATATAATAGCACCTTATTTCATGGACAGAAAGACCAAATGAACAAACTGTTCAGTTTGACTCGTGGAAGCTGACTAACTGACCACTCTCATCACACTATGATGTGACGTCATGAAGCGGTTGACACGTGACCAACTCAGTAAAAGGGAGATAATCGCCTTTTGTATTCCTACAATAAACTTTTATTGCCTGCTTTAGAGTGGACATGTGACATTCTGTTATTGTGGACAATTTCTTCAATTATTTTAGTGATAAACAATATCGCATCACACCCTTCAATGAACGATAAGGTCTCTGCTGCTAATGTGGATTTGACCACTCTCTTGATCTTAGTGGATTTCTATGTTAAAAGACAGGTTGTCATTTTTTTCATCAGTAAAAAAAAAAAAGACAATTTTTCCTCTTTGACTACCCCCACTAAAAGATTAGGATAACTTGCATCAGTATTATATGTTATGATCTTTAAATCTTTGAGATTTTTAAGTTGTGCAAATTGGATGGCACTAGGTGTGACTTTCACCTGCCTTAAGATATTATTATCCTAGGCTAACATTAGCATTTGTTAGTGCTGAGCTCAAATAACAAACAGCAAAACCTATGTCAGGGTGTATCATGCCAGCAATCGAATTCATTTGTCCAATTAGGCACTTACCTAATTTGTAATTAATTCTGCAACACCTTTCACTCTTCCTCTATATTTCCGATTCAATAATGTTTTCTCTCATTTCCTCATGGTAATTTCATTTATAGCATCTTCATATCAGGGGAAGTAACTCCGCTCACTCTGAGGGGAATAAAAAAATAAAGAAGCTTAAAAAGAATAAGACAAGAAAGAATAAAAATAAAGAATGTACACCATTAATGGCATTAAGTTTGGAAACAGGAAATAGTCAAATTAAGCAAGACCTGGTGAGTAAGGTGAAAGGTCTATGCACTGAAACCCCCAAATTATTCAAAACATCTTATTGTCTTACCAGCCTGTTAGCCATGGCATTCTCCTGCTAAGAGTGAACATCTTTTTTGCAGTTTCCTTTGTCATTGAGTAGAGTAATGTTTTGCATTAACTGTTTTGGTCCTTCTGAAGATAGCCAAATGCCTTTCTTATCCACTAAATACTATGACTTTTCCTGCTGATTGATGGGTCTTAAATTTCTTTAGCCATGAAGAATCTGTGTCAGCATGGCATAGAATAAGCATGGGAAAACTTTTCTGACTAGTGGGCCACATGAGATATATCTCATCATGAGGCAAGCTGCACTACTAAAATTTATGGGTCTTGAATTTCTGTAGCCATGGAGAATCTGAGTGCCACCACTGTATAGGCCAGGCATGGGCAGCCTTTTCTGACTAGTGGGCTGCATGATATATGGCTTATCATGAGGTGGGAACACACTACTAAAAGATATTTAACATAATTTTTCCTTGAAGGTTCATCAGCCATTTTAACTACAGAAGACTACACGCCAAAGCAACTGCCTTAGAAATGGAGAAAAGTTGATTTTTTTTTTTTTTTTTTTTTTTTTTTTTTTTTTTTTGCTTTTTTTTTTTTTTTTTTTTTTTGAGAAAAGATTTTTTTTCTTTTTTCAAGGCTTTGTGTAATATTATCACTGATGACTGATTAACACACTCTTTTGCATGGGATTTTAAAAAAATTTATTCATTTGAAAATATAAGAATTATTTTTAAAAATATATATTTCTTCTCTAGAGGAAAAAAATTATGAATGTTTCTTTTTTGTTGGTTCCAATTTCTTAGGAATGACTCAAAAAAAATTTTCTCCTCTTTAAATTTATAGAATTAGAAAATTATACATGTCTGCTGGGATTTCTTCCTATGCCACTTCTTGGTCTCATCTGACTCAGTTCCGATCTTTCTGCTGTGATTGCTTGTCTATATCCACTTTTGTGTGTTGACACCATTCTTAGTTTGTGAACATTTTGCCTTATTAATGTTGCTTTGCCTTATTACTGTTGTTTTGCCTTGCATATATTGTTTACTTGATTAATATTATTTTTACCCTATTTTTTCTTTTCTTTCTCTTGTTATTGTTTATTGCAAACTTTGTCAATTCTGTTTGTTGGACGCTTCTGCCAATTACATTTAACCATGGCCAATTGTTTTAAACTGGTTCCAAAAGCAAATGATATTTACATGTACGATCTTCCTTAGTGAAAATTGCCAATGGCTTAAAATACTGAAAAGATCATCTTACAAAATTCAAGAAGTATTGAACTTAATCATTGTTCATGTAGGTGATTTATTTATGAAAGTGAGTGAATAAGTGAGAATGAAATGAAACAAACCAAATTTAAATAAACATTATCTTCCTCATGAAATTATGTGTGCCATTCGGAAAGCTAATCAGACCACAATTTATCATAGACTGTTGTTTGGTCTCTGGATTCTGGTTTAAACAGGTTTCATCAAGACTGACATGGTATTCCTAAAACTTAATTGTATGTTTTTGATATTTTTCATGTATAATCAAAAGTGTTGTCAAAATTTTTAAGTAAGGTGTATATCATTTAAGACTGTTGTTTGGTCTGGTTTAACCAGATTTCATCAAAACTGATATTCCTAAAACTTATCACTAGATTATTGAAAATACTGAAAAATCAATGTGTCTGTTCAATACCATTGCATGGTATTGCCGTTAAACCCACTTTAAACCTCACCTTGTGTCACATTTGTTGGATCGCACTGAAAAATAAATACTTGATGAACAGTTTCTGTGCGTGCGCCCAACACTTCTTACACATAATTCATTGTATGTTTTTGATATTTTTCTTGTCAAAAGTTTAAAATATCATTAAAATTAAATCTAATTATTTTCTTTTTTAAAATCTAATTCCAAAGAAGAGACAGCAATGTTTATTGGTTCTAACCTGGCATCTTGGCTTCAGTCACTTTTCCACCAATTAAACCTATTTTCATGGTAATTGTTCTGATGAGCTTTCCTCTTTGGTACTTCAACTTTACAAATATAAGTGCAGTACTAGATTGGCAGTTAGGTCTCATCATTTTGAAGTTGAAATTGCTAGATATAACTGTAAATTCTATGCTAACAGATTTTTTCGCATTTCTCACTTGTGGAACTCTCTTTCGGCTTCTTGCTTTCCTGTTAGATTTGATCTTTTATTTTAAATGCAATATCAATCATTATCTTTTGTCTTAAATCCTGATTTTTTTTAATTGTTTTCTCACCTTAATGTTTTCATTATATTCTTTCATACTCAGTAACCCCTTGTGTCTTAGTGGCTTTATTGCATTTGTTTGGAATGAGATAATTAAAATAAGTTCATGTAACACCACTAAGATTACTATTATGGCCAGTTGTTGACAACTCAATGAAAGTAGTAGGTTTGTGTGTGTATGGTGTAACAGCATAATTGTCCATTACACAAAATGTTAAATGGCTAAAAAACCACTAAACCAATTGAATTTCTTTTTTTCATGTTTTCAGATAAGACGTTTAGCCATCTTGGCACCATTTATCATAAGAATCACTGGAAACCCCTTTGAGTTATTTAGCTAGAAAGAGAACAGGTTAATGTTATTTTGTGTCAGCCCCATTGTCTTCCCAACTGAGCAATAGTGAGAGGAAAAAGATTATTCAGGCTTTCAATAATGGTACCAAAATTCATACTCTGGCTTCCATCTTCAAAGTCCATTGAATAGCCATCAAGAGAACAGTGAATAAGTTTAAAAAAGGGGAACAGTAGAGAGGAAAACTGGATCAAAAGGTCACAGCAGGAAGAGGGATCATCGTTTCAATTTAAAGCTAAAGAGATCAATTAGAAAAGAACCAACTCAATCCATAAGATGTTTAGCATGTGCAACAGTCCAAAGAGTAGTAAAAAAAGACTTAAAATGAAATTGTGCATGAAACGTGTGAGGTACCTTATTACTCCAAGACAGAAAGTTAGAAGATTAGAGAGGGCGAATAAGTAGGAAAATGATCCTGGAATAATATATAAATATATATTTGAATATAATTTCAATCCTTTGTGAGCTTCTGATCCTTAGCTATGATTAATTAATGATGAACATGTCATTTTCGTTTATGATCAATTTCATCATCTTATTGCTCAAAATAGAGTCCAATAGTGTTATAAAAACCTTGGAGATTTCCAGTAAGAGATCTTTAATCATTTCTAAGAAAAAAAGGTTTAAAACGTAAAATCTTTTAGATTCTTGCTTTTCTGTCAGATTTGATCTTCAAAAATTTAAATGCAATATCAATTGTCATCTTCTGTATAAATTCCTCTTCTTTTATTGGCCTCTCTCTATAATAATATTTTTTCTAATATTTTTTTCACACTCAGTAACCCCTTGTATCCTAGTGGCTTTATCACCTTGCTTGGGGTGAAATGATTCAAAAGAAAAAAATGTTTATATTCTATTTTTACAAAGTATTTTTTTTTATATATTTCTAGGAATTCGCTTGCTGGCAGGAAGAAGACGACTGCTCACAGCAACTGGTATCTGAATCAACACAACTCTTTTAAAAATTATCAAAATCTTTTTTTTTTTTGGACCTTTATAAACAAAATTGACTCAGGAAAAAAAAAAAATCTTGCTCCACACCATGAAGCATTCAGTTAGATTGTCTGTATTTTTGTGGCTATTGGCAGGGTCAACATTATCGTTAATTGGAACTCTTAATGCAACATGCTTGCATGACAACATTCAACCAATTGAAGTTTCACGGAAACATTTGCACT